AATGACAGCTTAAGTGTAATTGTTCCCCGAGGAGCAGTGTCACGTCACAAATATAGTTGAAACCAATTAAAGCCAGTTCAGAAAAGCATTTGGTCTTTAACCAACAAAGAACATAATTATGGGATCTTATACATTATGCAGTGAAACCTCTGTGTTGGTTTACCGTCTTTGAAAAGTTTCCTATTTACAACTGTAACACTTGTAATATGATAATATACTTGTAATGTAATAATTCACATCTGGGAAAATATCATTCATCTTGGAAATAACACTTTCACCTTTTATTCAAATCTAGGCACAAATGAATTTATTAATAAAAAATGAAAGTTAAAATATATAACATTCTCAATACAGTTATCAAAAACCAGATCCTGACTTTGGTTAAGGAAAGAGTTTATTTGAAAGTATCACAAAAAAGTATCATAAGAGCAGGGAGGGGGCCTTGTAATAGGGAGAAGATCTGCGCCTCATGAGATCAGTCAGACAGCAAAGGCTTTGCTTTATGAGGAGAGGGCACGAGGCCAGCAAGGTGGGGGAGGTGGGAGGAGTGGGTGGAAGCCGCATGAAGGGACAGTAGATCAGAAAACGTTCACCCTGAGGCCGGCGCCTGAAGTGGAGGGGTCTCTCGGAGGCCGTATGCTGGCCCAGGTTGCTGGTGGGTCATATTCGGGGGCCTGAAGAAAGAGAGAACTTCCCTGAAGTTTGATCAGGTCAGGTTAGTGGACATTTTCTGATTGATCAGTGGGGACAACAGGTCAGCTAATCTTGTGTGGGGCAAAGAATGTGCATTTAGAGGGTCTGTGTCTGGCCTTGTCACAGGTGAACAGCGGACCATCCACAGGTCTTATCTAAATCACGTGCGGAGGAGTAGTTCTTAGCAATGAGCCATTCCCAGGAATGGAAAAGGGTCTGGGCTTGTCCTCATCATCACTGTTTTTCGGGAGCACAGGGTCGGGTTAAATTCAGCATCCTCCCAGTGCTCAGCACTTACCTGATGCGCCTTAATCTTCATGATAACCCTTCAGTGTGAGGACTCTCACAAGCCGTGACTTGGCTGCCTGAGGACCGGGAAGGCTAAGGAACTGCCAGAGTCATGCTGCCAATAAGGGGCGCCGTGCTGCTTCACAAGGCTGTGGCCTGGGAGCACCAGTGGGGCGGTCCTAGTACTTGGAGCAAATGGGACGGCCGTGCTTCCTAACTTGTGTATCGTTCATGTTGTCTGAAGAATCCAAAACGTATGTTCAGCCCATGTCACTCAGGCCTTTTCTTGTTGCAAGTACCAACCTGGGCTAGCTTAAGCTTTGTTTTGTTTTGTTTTTTGAAGTATGTAGGGTACCTTATAGAATCCGTGGCAACATTGAACTTGTAATCTGCAAGAAGGATGGCAACAAGGACTTAAAGCCTAAGAAAGAGAGAGCAACCAGAGTCAGTGACTCCTCTCCCTAGCGGTGTTTCTCAGCAGGGACACAGCTGACATTGTACACAGGACACTTCTTCGTTGTGAAGGGCAGTCCCACCATTTCCGATGTGTGATATTCTTGGCTTTTTCCCACTAAATACCAGTAGTGACCTACATCATTGTGACAACCAAACAGACGTGCTAAGTATTTCCAGATTCCCTGGGGAGGTGATGCAATCAGGGGTTGAGAGCCCGACCAAGCGGCCGAGCGCACTGCCATTGTTGTGACTCAGCGTTAAGGACATGAGTGTCCACACTCTTAGTTATAAACCTCAGGCTCCATGACTTCCAGTCAGAGGCCAACTCCAGGACCCGACTGGGTAGCCTGGGCACAGTCCTGCCGTTTCAGTGTGCTGGCTCCCTTGGTAGCGTCATGGATGGAGGGGAGTCAGTTTTCAGTAATCAGTGGATATTGTTCATATAAATTTATGTATGTCCATAATAGTTGAATTCATCAATTTATTACTTACTAATTTGGCCTGGAGTATGTACAGTCTGTTGGTTGCTCTCTTAGGTAATTTTTTATACCTTTCTGTATTTAATTCATGTTTACTGTTCATCAATCAGTGGGTCATATAATCCCTGTGTTGTAGATGAAGTCTGGGACTCATGAGGGTGACTTGACGTAGGACATGTAACTCCTGCACAATACATGCTGGAACAGAGAAGGGAGTGAAAAGTGTTTCTGACTGTCAAAACACTCATTTATGTCCTTTTTGTGAGTGAAAGACTAATAGAAGTTAAATGGAGAAAGAAATCCTAAAGGCATATAAAATCATAAAAATACTTTTCTTTCTTATATAGAGTTCTACAGGTGACCTTGAATAAATCATATCATTCTGTGGACTTCAGTTTCCTCAGTATAAAATTAGATGTTTGGACTGGATGATTTCTAAGGTGTCTTAGTTTTTGTTAGTGGGGAAATATAAGATGTGATGTAAATATGGCTGCTTGACCACAAATTTGGTCTCCTGCCATCTTTGAAACCTTCCAAAATGAATATAAATGAAGGAAAAAGGCACAAATCCTCAAAGACAAGAATGGAAGGGTGAAGCAATAATAGGTCAATGATGGGAGTGAAGTTTTCATGGCTGCAAAATAAATGGACAAATGGTAATGACTTAGGTGACAAGAGAAAGCAGAATTCAGGCTTACAGGGCAAGAGAAAGTGACCCAGAAACATGGGCATTAGTACAGAAATAGCTGGAGAAGGCTCAGGAATCATGGACACCAGTTATTGAGAAGGTGGATTGGTGGGCAGAACTGAAGAAGAGGAGCCTTGGTTCAAAGTTTGTGTGAGAAGTGGTTAGACCACTGGGTGCTCCTCCTGGCTGATAAAACCAGGCATCTACCTTCTTAACCTACAGCAGGCTAGAGACTTCTTGGAGGGATTGAATAAAGAAGGCTTGGGCTCTCAGACCCAGATAGATACAACTGAGGGCTAGAGGTGCCACACTGAAAATGAGGGTATTTATTTCCCTTAAATAAAGGTCTGCACCTACTAGTGGGAATCCCAGCATTCCAGCAGCCAAGCTGATACCTCCTCCTGGGAGATTGGGGAATTCCTATTCAGGGTAGTGCTTACCTAGGCCAAGAGAAGAGAAACACAGATACTGATATTTGAGTAACGTTTGATGAAAAAACTAGCCTGTCATCTTAAAGTGAATTGTCAAGTCCAGTTGTCAAATCCTGTGGATGAAAGCAAGACTTCCAGGTAATGTTTTGGAGCCTCAGCCTTACATTTTTAAGAAGAGGCAGCAGAGGATTACTGGTCACTTGAGGAAAGCCCATAACGTACAAAGAGACCAATCCACAAAATGTGAATCTGTTGGAAGAGGCAGATACTGTAAGCTCCAAGTCGGGGTGGGGGTGGGACGCGCTGCCATTCATATCCTCAGAAATATAAGAATTTATATCACTTCCATAAAATATTTTTAAAATGCTGTAAAAAAAACAAATATAAGAAAATACTATTAATAGTTAAACATTTGATAGCAGAAATGAAAAAAAAATCAATAGATATGTAGGAAATGTGCTTAAATCCCCCAGAAAGTAAAACAAAGAAGGTGAAAGGGAAAGAGGAAAAATAAGAGAGAAATTTAGAGTTCCAACTCAGGAGATCCTAATAGCCAAATAATAGAATTTCCAGAAAGATAAAGCAGAGAAAATGGGGAACCAAAAATAAGGTAGAGATGAGTGGATGGAGACACTGATTCTTTTTTCCTATGTTGTATTATTTGATATTTTTAACTCTATATGTATCATTTCTATATTTTTAAAAAGTAATCGACTTAAATTTAAAAAACAAAACATACTTACATGTGAAGGTTAAAAATACTGTAGATATTTGAGTTTTCATTGAAGACCAATAAAATTAAAAGTAGGCAAGGAAAAAATACCATTTTGATTTTTTAAAAGTACATATTTTAAGAAAATTACTTCAATTACCATAGAGAAATTGAGAAACGATTTTCTCTTAAAAACAGCAACAGCACAGCAGTGGCATAGATCATGAAGGAGAGCTGATGCCAAAACAGCAGCTGCATGAGTTTGTAATCAGAAGTCTTGCCAAAGAGAACAGTTTCCTTCCTGGTCAATAGGGCTGACTTTCTTTCTGGGAACAAGAAGTATTCATGACTTACCTTAATTATGGTAAAGCTTTTAAAAGTTGTGTGAAATTCCTAATTACAGTCCTTTCATTCAAGATATATTTATTGTCTTTTCTATGTTAAGCATTGTTCTGATTCATTTATATGGACCCATTTAATCTTCCTAACAGCCTTATGGGAGTAGGTTCTGTTGTATTTCACTGTTCTCATTTTACGGATGAGGAACCCAAGGTACAGAGAGGTCAGGTAACCCAGTTAACTAGCTGGGTTACTCAGCTGGTAAATGGAAAAGCCAGGTTTTAAAACCATGGCATTGTAGCCTCAGAGTCCATACTGTTAATGAATTCACTTCTGCTGTGCTTGTTAAATTAAGAACCCTAAGAATCAAGACTCATTAATTTGTCAACATTTTCATAGCTAGTTATATTGGAAGAGATAGATGGATTTTGTCATAAAGCTTTGTGAGCCACCAAATGCTTGAGGACTCATCTAGGCCAGTGCACTCCCTGGTTGACTAACCAAGGCTCAAGTGCTGAGGTTAGGTGGAAGGACCCAGACACTCCATAGTGACCAGCCTGGAGCACCTTACATCTTCCCCACCTACATCCTCATCTTATCAGCACTGTGCATGGTTGAAGTCAAATGTGTGTTAAAAGTGTCAGGATAGCAACCTAGGATTTCTGGGAATTAGCTTAATTTATAATTTGTGAAATCTAACCATCATTGAAATGATTGGTTTTTACTTTACAACTTTTAGCCCTGTTATATATGGTTTGTGGAAAATTGTACAGTGTGAGGCATATAGCAGGAACTTAAATATTTGGCATTAATTAGTGATGTGTAGCATACTGGAGTGTTTACTGATGTTCAAGATTAATAAATTACTTTCAGATATGACTGTTACAATTTTGGTTTGTTTGTTTTCTCCCTAGTTCAACTTTGTGGGGAAACTTTTGGGTCCCCGTGGCAATTCTCTGAAGCGTTTACAAGAAGAAACCTTGACAAAAATGTCCATCCTTGGGAAAGGTTCCATGCGAGACAAGGCAAAGGTAACATTCATCATAGACAATGGCTACTTTGGAGACAAGTTGCATAATGTACTTTTAGATTATCCATTGTATTAATACAAATTATATTAGAGCTACCTAGGATTGCGAATGAAATTATATGAAAATGTTGTTTAAGGCGATGAGTTTGTGGTACTGTGTAGAAAACTGAGTCGCTTGGACCAGTTTCAGAATATATGGTGTCCTCCATGTACATCTGTAACTATTACCTTCATTTGTAAAATGCAATAGCAATGCCTGTGGTTTCGACTGTAGAAGCAATACCTCATAGAAAGTACAGTGATACTGAAATTACCATGAAGAGAAAAGTTATCTGCAGTCTTAACTGCCACTGTTTGCGTCTTAGACGAGTTCCTGGGGGCCTTTTTTCTATGCCTGTATTTGAAATAGTTGAGTTTATAAAGTATACACGTGGATTTGCTCTTTTTGCCCTTCATTTGATACCCTGTACATTTTATCAAGTTAAAATTGATTTTAAATATTTTAATAGTGTCTTCGTGTTCTCACACACAGTAGCTCTACTTGGCTCTATTCCTTCTAACTGCCTTTTTTTTTCTGTAATAAGCTAAAATTACTGAGCTTTTTTATTGATCACTTTCTTAAATATACCACTTCTGAAAGAAGTTTTCACATTTCATTATTACATTATTCTCCGTTATCATTTTGTTGCTCTGTCACTGTGAAGAGATTGATGTCACTGAAAACCAAACCCACATTCCGTGGCCACTTTCCATGAAATGTTGAACAATGATTGTGTGAGACAAGAAAGTTATTTAGACAAAATGCAGCCTCCTCTCACACACAAAAAAGTCCATCTAAACAAAGGCTTTTATAATAAAAAATGGCTGCCATTTGTTTGTCGAACAGCTACTGTGAGTGCATTGCTCCGTGTTACCCCTAGAAAAATGGTGGAAGATACATAACATTTTCCTTACTTTACCTGTAAAAAAACTGAGATTTAGAGAACCTGAGTGTATTATCTGTGTTAATCAGGGAAGTTAAATTATTTGATTAAAACAGGGCTATTATACTCACATGGAGTGCTGTTTAAAAATAAGATTCCCATACAACCTTTTTAGGGTAGAACCTCAAAATGAATTTTCAGTGGGTGTTTGGAATGATTCTAATGTGTGGCCAGGTTAGGTTAACTATTCTCTAAGCCTTGCTGTCTCAAATGATGTTACTTTGATTCCCTGACTCATCTGTTCTGGCAGTTGGAGGAAATGGAACCGTATATTGGTCAGTTGGTCAGAAATTTTGTATAACTTGTAGGAAACTAACCCATCCTTGCTGATATCTTAATTAGGTCTTCAATAAGGCCATCTGGTCATGAAGTACATGATATGACCAGTGAAATTCATCAACATACTGCTTATTTTGTTTGTTGTTAAGGGAGGTGGTTTTGTTTTTTTTGTTTTTTTTGTTTTTTTTTTTTTTGGTCAGTAGCAACATTTTGTGGCATTATGGTGGCAGTGATCAGAGCATCCACAGATAGTTTCACAGGTACAAAGGAAGGAGGGAAGACAAGTCTTTAGCTGGATTATATGTCCAAGTGATAACAAGTGTCTGGCTATCCACTTAATGAACAGGATTCTAAATATGGTCACTTTGCTCTCAGGGCTTGGTGGTTTTTCCAGATTATGTTGTCATTTTAAGGGCTGTCTCTGCTGTTGGCATATTGGGCATTCAGCAGTACAGTAGCTAAGAATCCTTTTCAAGGGGAGTCTGTGTTGTGAAGTAATATGTAACCTCTCTGTCGCCACAGGCACTTTGTTCAAGTGTCTTGAGTAGCACTGAGGTGGCTGGGCAAGGAGGTGCTTTGACATCTACTAAAATGAGTCCCTTTGTCTCCCTGGTCGCTGAGTGCTTGCTCTGCATTGCATGAGGCACCCTGTTCTCTTACACACTCAGTTGGTCTAGGCTGCTTTCCTAGACTACTTTCCAGCCCTTCACTAATCCTCTCATTTCTATGTCCTTGACCACATGGGTCTGAGAATCATTATAGAGGTTCTGTAAGTGGCTGATCATTTCCATTCCATCAAGACACCCAGGAACTGGGGAAGTAGCATACATTTGGGGTTTACAGTCCATTGAGCTGCTGTCAAGGGACAGGATGAGAAGTCCTTTATCTCTTGACCCTGTAGACCCACTGTCATCAGTGGCCCTCAGTGGAGAAGCATTTGCTCAGAATCAAGTTTGTTAATCCTCAGGCTTTCTGGGTATTTATCTTATCAGTGCGTAGTTGCTCTAGTAAAAGGCCCCAGATCCTTGGTGGGAAGACAAAGAGGAAGTGTCACATGTACACAAGGAGGTATTCATAGTTATTATTAGCTTTCTTATTCTCTGCATCCGCGGGGCAAGCACGGATCTGATCCTAGGCCAGGAGGTCATACCGAGAAAAAGTAATAAAGCATGACACCTGGGTGGCTCAGTCAGTTAAGTGTCTACCCTCCGCCCAGGTCATAGTCCCAGGGTCCTGAACTCGAGCCCAGTGTCAGGCCCCCTGTTCTATGGGGAGCCTGCTTCTCTGTCTCCCTCTGCCCCTCCCCCCGACTTGTGTGCACACTCCTCTCTCTCTCTCTCTCTCTCTCTCTCTCTCTCTGTCTCTGTCTCTCCTCTTGCTCTCTCCCTCAAATAAATAAATAAAATCTTAAAAAAAAAAATAAAATAAAGCCAGAGAATTTTCATCTTTCAAGGAACTACCTTGGCTATTCAAAACAAGGTAGGAAAAGTTTCACCAGACAGGCTTCTGCCTGTTTGGAAGGCTCAGTGGGGCTTCAACATTTGAATACTAAGGTTGTTTGAATCCTCCCAAATGTTGCCAATCCAGTGCTCAGATCTTCACTGTTCTCCAGACATTTTCCTAAACCTCACAGAAGAGGTGGCTGGGCAGTCTACTGTCCTTCAGCAGCACGAAGGCTTCAACTCTGCTTCTGCCTGTTGGCTCCATAAGCCTGTGGCCATAAGCAGTAAACCTCCTAGCCTACTTCTGGCTCTTTGAGACTTGAACTCGTAATGTCAAATCTTGAGTTTGTCATTTTCTTTTTAGAACTCTTCAGTACAGTTTCACCCTACTCCCCCTGTCTTGTTTTCCTCTTGTGCATCATACTGTGGCCGGCCTCTGCCACATGTGGCCATCAGTCACACCTTCAGAAGCATGTCACTGATGTCACCACAGGTGATAATTCAAGTAACAGGTTTGCTGTAGAAGTGGAGACCACTGGTACTCTATGTCCTGTGCTGCAGTCAGGTCCTCAGTGCCTGAACTCTTGAATGCTGATCTCTGTTGATCCTTTTAGTCTGCAGAAATTCTCAGTTAATAATGTTTATTGCTAAAGAGATTTCCATTACTATTAAAATCTCATCTTTTAGCTTTTTAGAGTGTTCACTATAGAGTGTTCACTATCTAAATTCTAATGAGACCGTAATTCATTTTGTTCTTGTATTTTCTACATTGACGAAATTATGGGAGTCATTACTGACTTGTATCAGTTGGTTATGTAGCATAATAATCACTTGTAATGCTATGGTCTTTTGAGCCTTCAGTTTGTGCCAAGCATGCTGGCTGTTTTGCCCTTATTGTCTATATTATAGAATAATAGAATAATTAATACTGTAGTCATCATTTATTGAGTGTTTATTATGTACTAAGCACAGTTCTAAAGACTTTTTGTGTCTTTAAACATGAAACTCCTTTTTTACTACAACTTTATATTACTAATAACTCCTAATCACTGTTCTGATAACTCCTTTATTACTACTCATTGAGCAGTAGATACTGTACTGTTAACTCTGCACTTAAAATCACCTCTTCAAGATGATAAAGTAACCTGTTCAAAATTATACAGTATGTGTTGAATTTGGGATTTGAAAGCAGAACTCCCAAGCGAAGTCTGTGTTCTTCCCCAAACACCATGTTGCCTGTTCTTGCTAACCCAGGACAGAAGCTGATAAAGCTCCTCGCTCTGTGGAGATGAGTGACAGCAGGCTGGGCTAAGAAAGCCTCTCTCCCCATTTGCGTCTGGGGTAGCAACGGCAGAGTGCTGCACTGTGAATCACAGTTACAAACTCTCATTAGTAGCCTTAGTGTGATGCTGTATTCTAATAGGGAAGCAATGCTGAGGTTTATACTTATAGTTTATACTTTCAGAAGTGAAATGCTATAGTGTGATGCTGTATTCTAATAGGGAAGCAATGTCGAGGTATATACTTATAGTTTATACTTTCAGAAGTGAACTGTTGAACATAAAATTCGACTTTATGAAGTTCAAAACTTCAGCTCTGAAAGGCAGAGTATCAGATCAAGTGATGGAGAGTGTTCTGATAGAACAAATAGTCTACAGTTGGCCTAAAAGAATCGTGCTTTTCATATATGACCAATTTTGAAGGAAATGCAGAGGGTATTATGGTAGCTTATATTTGCTCCCCTTGCTTCAAATATTTCTCCTTCTTTTCCTTTAGTTTCTGACCTACTTTCCATAAATGTGAAGAAAACTGGCATTTATCGAGTCCTGGCACGTGTAAAGCAGTGTGCCGGGCAGTACGTATGTGATCTCCTTTGCCAGGCATTTACGGAAAGTTGGTCCTTTTACTCTTCTCAACAGTCCTGCGTTAATATACTTATGTTAACACAAACTTGATTTTTCAAATTAAGAGTTCATCTGTCTGAACAGACATACCTGGTGTCTGGCATGGCTACGATTTGGGTATATCTGACTCAAAACCCCGTGTTCTGTCATGCTCTATATGTAGATCTCTTTGTTTTTTAAAAGAAGTCAAATTAGTGAAGTAACACAAGTTGAAGTCTTAAACGGTGAAGTCAAGGGTGCTTGTGCGTCTTTGACCTCTTGGCCTGTGGTGGAATTAAAAGGTGTTGTTGCCAGGAGTTCTAGGGTTCTCCTTCTCATGGGGTTGGTATTTTAGAGAGGCTAGGAAGGTTTCCCCCCATTTTGGAAATCACTCTAGGTGTAGGTACCTACTCTTCTTAATCTGTCTGATTTGAATGTTGGAAACAAAGACTTTTAAAAGATCCAGATTCTGTCATTTTCCACTGTAATGAATGCTAGTTAGGAGAAGATAATGGACCAAAATTATTTGTCTCTTGCTGACCGATCTAGGTTTTTTTCCTCCTCGTTTTCCCCCCTGAATTTCATTATGTAAACAAAAAAACTTTAATGTGTATCATAATTATGTAAAATCATGTAATAAAATCTTTCATTTATTTTACTCACTGTTTTATCTTCAGATACAGTGCCTGGCATGTAGAAATGTTTTTTGAATGAATATATGAATGAGCAAATGAACATAGAAATGAGTAAATAATATTTACCTATTCTTTCAAATGTATTTGTTGAGTGTCAGCTATATACCAAGCATACCTTTTCTAGACAAGGAAAATGAGCACCAAGGAAGACAATCATGGTTTTGTTCTGTTGCGATCACCTCCAGTGAGGAAAATTAGATAATAGTCAAGTAAACAATAGATATTTTAGGTAATTTGACGGTGGAAATGGTTTGTGGCAGCATCACAGATACTCGGCGTAACCCGTGTAGAGTGAGCTTGGGAGATCAGCTGGTCTGACCAGGGGTCTGAGCAGCTCCTGGAGGGCATCGGGCTGGGGGGACAGGCGGAGACAAAGCAACCAGAGCACACAGCAGAGGGTCTCCCCCTAGGCCAGAGGTAGGGGTTGAGACTCATCCCAATAGCACGAAGCCTTCAGTGTTTTCATAGAAGGTGGGAATGGCAGGATCAGATTTGTATCTTAATCCTTCATCCTTAGGGTGGTGCTTGCCGTTGAGTGAACCTTCTGTGACAGCTGCATCCGGATCAGCTCTGTACACAGGGCATTCCTGTTTCTTTTCTTATAAAGATGCCCTTTTAAGCATGGCTTTTCTTTCTTCAGGAAGAAGAGTTGAGGAAAAGTGGAGAAGCAAAGTACTTTCACCTCAATGATGACCTCCATGTTCTCATTGAAGTCTTCGCTCCACCAGCAGAAGCATATGCCCGGATGGGACACGCACTGGAAGAAATCAAAAAGTTCCTCATTCCTGTTAGTACAATTTTCCTTGATAGTTAATTTGCACTTCAAAGTCCTTCCTTTATTTTAATCCTTGGTAATTTTTAGCAGTAAGTATTATTTGCACAGCACTTTGTTAAAAGTGTCCCTGTGAATTGGCATTTTTCTTTCTTTATAAATGAGGCAAGGGATTTTTAAAGAGATTAGATAGTACTGGTAAGGCTACCCGGCCAAGAAAGTTGAAGAGCATAATCACTAGTTCATGTTTTGGGACTCTTAAGTCCTAAGCCTTTTTGTGACACTAAATCACCTACAGATCCATTGTTCTCCAATATAAATGCAGTAGTGCCTTCCATGCAGCAAGCACCGTGGGTGGTGTTGGACCAGCAGACATAAATAAAGGCAGTCGCTGCCCTGGAGGACTATGTAGTGTAGGGGGAGGGAGCAGCGTAAGGCAATGATTTCAGTGTAGCATGGTAAATATAATGACAGACATATGCATAAGGAGCACGGAGAAGAAAGGGACTGTGCTGATAGTTACCTGGCTTTCGCCAGGTGCTTCATGCTTTGGTTTTTTGTTTGTTTGGTTTTTGTTGTTTTTTTTTTTTTAAGATTTTTATTTATTTATTTGAGAGAGAGATCACAGTGGGAGAGGGAGAAGCAGGCTTCCTGCTGAGCAGAGAGCTGATGCGGGACTGGATCCCAGGACCCTGGGGTCATGACCTGAGCCGAAGGCAGACGCTTCACCGACGGAGCCACCCAGGCGCCTCTTATGCTTTGTTAATGTCACAGTTGCTATTCTGTTTTTACCCTTCCCAGACACTTTGACATTGCTAAGAATGTGATAATTTAAACAGAATGTGTCCCTACCTCCATTATGAAAGTTAATTTAGGTTTTTTATATAATTTACGTGTACTAGATTTTTAAACTGAAACATTAAACGCTTTGGCGTTTATTTAGAGAAGCTGTCGTATCTGCCAAACAGCTGCCTGAGGTAAGACTGTCTTCAGCAGTCCCAGGTTGGTCTAGTAGATTGACTTACCTACCACAGCGTATGTGTCATGACTATATTACCTGTGAGGAAAACTGTTGAATTTATAGGGAAAGGATATTTTAAGTCATGATTGCCTTGGAAAAGCTGAGACATGGGATTGTATTAAGTCATTTTACTTGGGAGCTGAAAACGGTTCAACTTCCTTAATTCCCTCATGATGATCCCAATATGATGCCAATATAATGATCCATTTATTCACTTATTTTCTTTGTTTTGTTTTGGTTTTTATAGAGGAGGGAGAGAGAGGTGGAGGGCCAGAGGGAGAAGGGGATAATCTTAAGCAGCCTCCACACTCAGTGCAGAGCCTGATGCAGGGCTCGATCTCACAACACTGAGATCATGACCTGAGCCAAAATCAAGAGTCAGAAGCTTAACCAACTCTGCCACCCAGGTGCCCCTACTCATTTAGTTTAGAAACAAAGTTTTTTAGTACTTTCTATGTGATAGATACATGGGAACTAATAAAAGACATTCTTTTATCTGACCCTGTGGAGTCTATGTAATGGAAGAGACAGATAAGAATCAGATATTCATACAAACAATTATAAAATTGCTACTCTGACAAGACTAAGGAGAGGTCTAATGTCTTAGTGGTCATTCAGTGTGGACTGGGGAGTGCTGACCTAGCCACGTAGGCTGCCACAGGACCTCCCGCCCCATCCCCCTTGCACTCCTCCACCAGGACATGGATCTGACTTCTGTCCCCTTGAGTCTGGGCTGACCAGGAGAACTCTTTGCTGAACCAAGGGTCACAAAGATTTTTTGCTGTTTTCTTAATATTTTAGAGTATTAGTTCTGTCATTTTAAGTGTGTGATCAATTTTAGGTTAATTTTTGTGTATGGTATGAAGTTAGGATCTAGGTTTATCCTTTCCTATGTAGATATCCAGCCAGTTGTCCCAGCACTGTATGTTGAAAAGAAAATCCTTTTCCTATTGAACTGCAACGCCATTGTTGAAAATCCACCGAACATAAATGTATGGATTAGTTTCTGCATTCTCAGTTCTGTTCCATTAATTTATATGCCTGTCCTTATGCCAGTGTCATGCTCTTAATTACTTTAGCCTTCTAGCAATTTGGTGTGAAATCCAGGTTGTTGATTCTTTTTTAAAGAAAAAGTTCTATTTCAAAATTGTTTTGGCTATTCTGGTTCCTATGCATTTCTACATATATTTCAGATCAGCTTGTCAGTTTCTACAAAAAAGCCTCCAAGGGTTTTGACAGAGGATTGAATCTGTAGCTCAATTTGGGGATAATTTCCATCTTAATAATACTTAGTTTTCTAGTCCATGACTACGAAGTGTCTCTACTTCACAGATTTTTTTTGTTTCTTTCAGCAGTGTTTTATAGTCTTTAGGGTGCCTGTCTTAGACTTCTTTTGTTAAATTTATTTCTAAGTATTGTACGCTTTTTGATGCTATTGTGAATGGAACTTTTAAAATTTCATTTTCAGGGTGCCTGGGTGGTGCAGTGGTTGAGCATCTGACTCATGGTTTTGGCTCAGGTCATGATAATCAGGGTCCTGGGATCGAGCCCCACACTGGGCTCCGTGCTCACTGGGGAGTCCGCTTGAGATTCTCTCTCTCTCTCCCTCTGCCCTTCCCACTCATGCTCTCTTTATCTCTCTCCCTCAGATAAATAAATAAATCTTTAAAAAAAATTTTCATTTTCAGATGGTTACCAGGATATCGAAATGCAGATGATTTTTATACACTGATCTTGTATCTTGTGACTGTGTTGGACCATTAGTTCTAGTGTGTTGTTTTGGTTTTTATGGAATCATTAGGATTTTCTACATATAGAATTATGTTATCTGTGAATAAAGTATGTTTTATTTTTCTTTCAAATTTTAATGTCTTTATTTTTTTATTTTTATTTTCCCTTATCACACTGACTGGAACTTCAAACACATTGTTGAGCAGGAGTGATGAAGATGGAATATCTTTGCTTGTTGCTTTTCGTCTTTCATCATTAAGTATGATGTCAGCTGTTAGGTTTTCCTTGCTGCCCTTGACCTTGTGGAAGAAATTCTCTTCTGTTCCTGGGTTTTGAGAGTTTTATCATGAATGAGTGTTGGATTTTGCCACGTTTTTTTTCTGCCCCTTGAAATGCTCATGTGATTTATCTCCTTTTTTTTTGTGAATAATAGTATATTGCATTAGTTGATTTTCAGATGTTAAGCCAGCCTTGCGTTCCTAGGTGAAATCCCACTTGGTCATATTACATTTTGCTACACTTGATTTACGAGTAGTTTGTTGAGAATCTTTACATCTATAATCATGAGGGATGTTGGCTTGTCGTACGGTATTTTTATAATCTTTGTATTAACCCTTACATTTACCATTTCTGCTACCCTTCATTTCTTTCTGTGGATAGAGTTGCCATATGGTGCTACCTCTTTTCAGCCCAAAGGACTTCCTTTAGTCTTTCTTATAACCTTGATCTGCTACCCCCAAAAATTGTTCTGTTTTTTTTCAGAATGTCTTTATTTCCCCTATATTCTAAAAGATAGTTTATGTAATTCCTGGCTGACAGTTTTTTGTTTCAGGTGGTAGAAGGCCGGTCTGCTGCTTTCTGGCCTTCATTATTTTTGATGAGAAGGAGTCCTTAATGATTTTGTTGTTTTGTGCATGATCTGTTGCTTTTCTCTTGCTGCTGTCACGATTTTGTCTTTCTTCTATTTTCATTAATTTGACTGTGATTGTGTATGCTTAGCCTCCTTACTCATTAAGCTTTGTGGATCCATACGTATACATTTTTCTTCAAATGTGGGACGTTTTCAGCTATTGTTTCTTTAAAATTTTTTTGCCTTTTTCTTTCTCCTCTGCTCCCATCAGTCCTGGATTCCCATGATTCGTATGTTGATACACTTGACAATGTCCCACACGTCTCTGTGGCTCTTTCTCTTCATCCTTTCTTCTCTGTGTTCTTGACTGGGTAATTTTAATTGGCTTATCTTCAAGTTTGCAGACTCATTCTTTTGCCATCTCAAATCTGTCTTGAACTCCTTTGGTTAAATTTCATTGTCGTTGTTGTGCTTTTTCTTCTTTTTTTCTTTTTGTCTAAAATCTCTCTCTCTCTCTCTCTCTCTCTTTTTTTTCCCCCCCAACATCTGGGCCTCTCCAAGACAGTTCTTCCTACTGCTCGCTCGCTTGCTTGCTTGCTTTCTCTCTCTCTCTCTCTCTCTCTCTCTCTGCGTATGGGTCACATTTTCTTGTTTCTTTGCATGTCTCTTAGTTTTTTTTCTTTTTTTTTTTTTGAAAACTCCACATTTCAGATAACATAGCACATTTGCATTCTGATTCATTTTAGTCTGCAACGGTGGTGGTTGTTACAGGTTTTTCTTTTCTTCGTTTCTTTAGTCATTTAGTTGGACTAAATCTGCAGAGTCTGTCTACTTCATGATTTACGGCTTTGTTCATTTTTTTCCTTCTCACTTTTATTTTAAGCCTGCCCCGCTGGGCACGTCTTCTGTGTCAGCATTGCTCAGACATCACCAGTGATTAGTCAGAGGCTGCGCTCACACACCTGTGTTAATAAGGCTTCCGCCCTCCGCTGATGGAAGTTTGGGGGAGCACCCATAGACTAGTCAGTTGTCACATCTTCCCTGGCCTTTACCGTATTTGTGATCAAAGCTTAATCCCTGCATCTCCTTTGCACATGCCCAGAGTCACTGTCAGGGAAGGATGTGTGGGGAGCTGTAAGCTCTCTCCAGTCTTGGCTGTACGTGTGCATAGCCTTCCATTCAGCAGACATGTGCCAGATGTCAAGGCTCTCCATGGCTGTTAAGTGTCTGGCTAGTCTGCCAGGTCTGTTGCTTGCCCCACCCAAAACCTGAATATTAGGATTGCCTGTTCACTGGACTTCTATGTATTTGCTACCAAAATTGTTACTGATATTGACAGTGCTGTTGGGTATGAGGGTTTTTCACACTTTCTTCCAAATTAAGTGAACTTCCTGTTGCAGCAAACTATTGGTT